ATTGTTAAAAGACAAAAAGTCACCATGATGTACATATCTATAAATCTCCCCCCACTACGCCATCATAGATGAGTTTGTACTGCTTACATTTAAAATATCAATTGCATTATAATGTCTATGATACAAATCAATTATTTAGTTGAGTTCTACAGAAGATTCAGGTGAACCAAAAACTAAGGACCTTATTCACAGAACATTTAAAAGCATTTTATACACAGTCTATCCACAAATGTATCTTAAATTAGAACAATGCATACCTAATATGCATATAGAATATGGCTTACACATTAAAGGAGATCTAAGTTGTGGGTTGTAAAATCCCACCACTCAGACTTAAAAGCTTCTGATTATATCAATTTCTAAAATATTGCTTAGCCTTGTGGAAACCAAGAAAAGAGCAGGTGCAACAGAAAATCAATATGGACCCTCCTTCACTTTATTCTTTAATTGATGGCTACTTTTGATTTTTTTCCATCCAGTTTTTGCCTTTTACAAAGGTAGATTCATCTCAGAATCATTGAAGTGTTTGCACAGTGAAAAGTTACAGCCCCTAATTGTGCGACCTTTCTTGTCAGCTAATAACAAACAAAAGTTGTTCTTCAGTTTGGAGCAAAGGAGAGGCTCTGCACATGCTCAGGCAAAACATGACAAGCAAGCGGAGTCTCCAAAAGTTGCAGTCTGTTTCTGTGTAGTGAAATTATAAAGTCACGCCAAATAAAATGATCTGTACAGAAAAGCATGGGTTTCCATTTTCATAGATATTTTTCAACACACACACACGCACGCACGCACGCACGCACGCACTTCTTGTCATTTATCCCTGGGCTTGTAATATATTTTGTTATGTCCTAATGGGATCAACACCCCAGGGGGCGAATTCCATTCTTAGTTCTGACGTCTGTCTCCAACAATGCCTGAGGGTTCTTGTTGTCCCGGAGTGTAGCTAACAAGTGTGACTTGCATCGTGATGATGCTCATGTGGGTGACGTATTCGTGCTCTGAAACCACAGGGATGGATGAGAATTGGTCCGCTGGTTTCAGGGATGGGTTTCACTGTGGTTTCCCAACGTGAGAGTTACAATGCAGTGGTCATCAGGTGGCAGAGCCAGGCTAAAGTTCCCCTGTCGTCACAGGCCTTCAACCACAGCTTCTCAGCAGCCCCGCCTCTCGTGTCGCTTCCGTGTATTTAAAATAAGGACAATCTAACTAGCCCGTTCTTCAGGGCTGCAAAAAAATTGTTTTCCATAATTCTGCTTTTCTTTCCTTTTAGTTAAAACCTTGAAATACTGATAACTATAGAACTCTGCATAAAACAATACAAGAAAGTAAATTTTTAAAATGCCTCATATTTTGCACGTGTGTTGCAAGGTCACCTGTGCTATAACTGGATTCAGAGTGATGAAAATTTTAAACTATCCAACCTTTGTCTTAAAATTTCTCTGACTTGCCTGAAAAAGCTAGATCAAAACAATCAAAACATTTCTTTTAAGACTGTTTTCTGGAGGAAAGACAATGGCAGAAGCACTGGCCAAAAACTCTTATGGCGATTTTGAATGCATTTGTTTGGCCGGAATTACTAGTTCAGAATTTATGTTCTTCCTACTGTAAATTCCTTCTAAGAGTCCATTAAAATGGCCTGATCCAGGTGTGTGTTGAAAAAGGAGAACATGACGTTGTGCAAAGTTGAGGATTTAGGATGTTTTAGTCCTGTTCTCATTATCCTGAAATAAAATCCAAATGAAAATGAAGATCATATTTTAGTCATACATATGCATCAGTAACTGTGTGGTAATATCACATGGGACTTTATACACCTTGTCAGGAATAAGGGATTTATCAGTATATTATAGATATTCATTGTCTATCTTCTTAGAATTCTCCTTTGTGTGTATATGTATGTGTGTGTATGTTTGCATGTTTTAATTACAGTAAAATGTGGATTGTTTGGATTAGAGATCACAAACTCAAGGACTCTACAAGCCTAGAAGGCAGTATAAATGGGGTAAGTGGGCCTGTGTGTGTGTAAAACCAGTGGAGTCACCAGGACTGTCGTGAACTCAAGAGCACAAGTCCTGCTTGAAGATATTCAAAACGGATCTTAAGTCAGTGTAGAAGTCAACCAAGCAAATGCACAGACTCACTCCAGCCTACAATCCATTAGGCTTTGACTTCTTCTTGGATGTACACGCAACACTAAAAAGCAGGCATTGGAAGGAATGGGGAACACTTCTCCTCCCAGGGAGTACCACGTCTGATATTGGTTTGCTCTGGGGGTACCAAAAGCATATCCTTCCAGGAAGACAATATAATAAATTATATTCCAGCCTCTTTTTAAATAGTAAAGCAGCATGGCATTGTACATCCAATTCCAATCTCATTCATTCTAATTAACAGAAACATTTTGAAAAAGTAGGCAAAACCAACTAGTTCTGTGGACAGAAATCTCTCAGAAGTGTGACGTTACACAGCAATGTGAAGTTATACAGCAATGTGAAAAACAGATTTCAAAGGCTGATTTCTTGCCCTAAGTGTAGTGTTGCACATTGACTGATGAGGTTTCATCATGGTGCATCTTGAATTAGACTTCAGTGTTTCCTGAGAAAATATCCCATACTGGGGCCCACACACTGAAAATGAAGCAGGCAGTGGCCCTCAGAGCTATGGCCAGGCTGCCGTAAAATCTATATTTTCCATGATGGAGGCCAGAGAAAGAGTTAGCTAGAGGTCACAAGAAGGTATGGTTAACATCTGGGAGACTGTAGGCAAAATCTGACCACATATATTTTATTTGGTCTGCATGGTGTTTCAAAAAACTTTGAGCCCACATTAAAAATGGAAAGATTTTACATAAAAAAATCTCTTAGCCAATGGAAACACCTTCAGACATGGTGAAAATATGTTGGAGGCAAAGACTGGCTGGCTGCTGCCTTCAGGTCAGGTGCTCTGTGTTCTTTCTGTTTTCAAGGCTGACCACTGCTCTTGTCTTCCAAACACTGGGCCTGAGTCACAGTTACCAACTGTCACCACTCCTGTTGGTTTTCTACTTCCTTTATATAAGAGGCCTGCCTATTTCTTAAAGGCATATAAATTTCACCTATGAAAGGCCATGATTTCTGGAATACTGACTGTGCACTAAAGGCAGAGCTTTCTCAAACTGAGACAAAAACTACAAGTTTTGGTTAGTGCTGATGGGAAAAAAATTGTCTAACAGCCTGCTTGAGTTTGAACCCCACTCTTTGAGTGGGTCTCAAATCCTTCCAGCTTTGGGGTCTTTGTAGTTGAAAAAGAGAAAAAGAGAGACCTCATTAACTGCCATTTGAATCTCCCTGAAATCTTTTACTGATGAGATGCCAGAATTTTACAGATCTATATCCTTTTTTGCCTTAGACATCTTCATAGATTGGACAGTCATTTTTACAAATGTACTGGTGACCTGTGTTCCCTGCACAGAATTTTTGGAAAATGTTCATAAGTATTCCAGTTCCATATCACGAATGTTTAAGAAATGCTGATTGTAGACTTTTTTTTTCCTTTGGAAGCTACATAGTGTGCACTAGATTGATGACATCAATAGGAAAGACTCGCTTAATTTTGTTTAACTCTATGTTCTGATGCTATTTATTTGTCAAAACAAAAACAAAAATGAAACAAAACAAAAACTTTTTGTTCTTAAAACACCCATAAATAGTCTACTGAATTTAGTTTTCCCTAAGACATACTTGGAGCCTCCATCATATATCGTCAGAACCTAAGAACTGCTCTGAAAAAGCCATGAGCTCCAAAGGCAATAAATTTATAGTCTGGATGGAGGGTATGAAGAGGAATTCCTATAGCTAATATGGGAAATATATTAAAATTGTTACATATAGACATACATGGGTTTTAATTGAACAGCCACTCTGTTGACTTGATTTCTACCTAAGCTTCATATGTAAAACAGGAATCATAATCACTAACTCTGAAATTGTTGAGAGGACTAAGGGAGATGAACACATGTAAGATGCTCATCACAGGGCCTGACCCTTGATAGTAGCATGAATGAAACTACTGTTATCAATAAAAGACAGTCTTACAACCAACTCAGGAACACTTAGAGATGTATCCTCTTAAAAGCTAATCACAGTTTAACTCTTTTGTATCTAAAGCAATATATGAGGAGCTACCAAGAGAAACTCAAGACACTTAGTATATGGCCCCCCCCCAGCATTTTCTCTTGCCCCCAACCATCACCCCAAAAGCAGGACTCATTATAACATGTGAGTTTTATTTCTTACTTTTTAAGGAGACACTAAGACATCTCCTCTATAAATAAACCTTATATATAAACCTTCCCTTCTAGCAGCTTGTACTTCCCTGGCAGGCACAAGACAACAGTTCTCCACTATAGTGTACAGAAACACCACAGACAGGATTATTAAAAATTTAGGTTTCCAAGGCCTCATTCCCAGAGTCAATAATTTGGTAGATCGAGAGTAAGCCCTAGAAGCTGAATTTTTAAAAAGAGAACCATGGAGGCAAACAAATGTCTCTAAATTTGAGCAAACACTGATGTTTGTTTCATAATATGTCCTTGCTTTGTTGTTATCACCCAGTGTAAACATTCATACTTCCTACATGAAGTAGAAAGAGAGATCAGGATTAAACTTGTCCACAGCTTACAGATCATTATTTTTAAAGGTCTAAAAAGTCTCACTAAGTATATTTTTTATTGATGAGCAAATTAAGCTCTTTGAAAAAGTAAATATTTAAGATTTTGCTTCAGAAAATCAGAGATTTTTAAAAGATTCCAGGAGATGGGTACCTGGGTGGTTCAGTAATTAAGTGTCTGCCTTCAGCTTAGGTCATGATCCAGGGTCCTGGGACTGAGCCCTGAATCAGGCTTCTTGCTCAGCTGGAGGCCTGCTTCTCCCTCTCCCACTCCCCTTGCTTGTGTTCCCTCTCTGGCTGTGTCTCTCTCTGTCAAATCAATAAATAAAGTCTTAAAAAAAAAAAAAGATTCCAGGAGGACATTGAAATGAGATAACTTTTTCTCTACGACATTCAACAAACCATTCATTCCAGGAATTAGGTTTCTTGTCTAAAAAATAAAATTACCTCTCATGTTTAAACTGACAGAAGCCTTTAAGGTATTTCAAACCTATGAATGTGCATCCGCACGTTTTTCTTCAGTGTTTACTAGATCTTCTGAGTTCTTATGAAGATCAGGTTCACCTATAACACAAGCAAACAAATAAACAAGAACAAAATAAGCCCGTGGAAAAAAACCTAATAAAGTCAGGAATCTGAAACAATGCAGTTACATGCTGAAGACTCAGTTTCACAATGGATTTTGCGGCACATTTCTCCAAAGATACCAAATACTTTCTTTTCAGACTGTGGATTTATAGAGTACAACGAGTCTTCTTCTGGTGGTTGTACAACATTGTGCAGTTGCAATTTAATTTGGTAATACAGAACCGAACTAGATGAGACATGTTTAAACATCTATTAAATCAAACATAAAAATTATGCATGCTTTTTCTTGGTGAGAAATCAGCAGAAGAGGGAGAAATAGAGAATCTTAAGCAGGCTCCGGGCCTAGCTCAAGCTCAAGGTGGGGCTTGGTTCTCATGACCCTGAGACCATGACCCAAGCCGAAATTAAGAGAGGATGCTTACCCCACTGAGCCATCCAGGAACCTCTTTCTTGAATTTTTTTAAGCAAATGGTTTTAAACAAATGCTCTAATGATCAGTGTCTTTTAACACACATTCCTTAGTTGCTATGAATTTAAACAAATGACTATGAATTTAAACAAATGACTGTAAGAGCATAGTAATTTTTCAGATAAGACATAATCTGCCAAAACACACTAATGGAATTTATAATCCAAAAATCAGTCATCTTCTATATAAACCTTGAAGAGAAAAAATTAACATAGAAAATGTGCCAACAGTTCTAGAGAAGTCACAGAGAATCTATCAAAAATAAATATAAAGCAAAATGTATAGATAAAAGAGTCTTACGTGAAAAAGAAAGCAAACAAAATTAGCAGAAATTAATTTTTGAGTCAAAAATACTTTACTATTTCGGGAAATAGTCATATATGACATGCTCTTTCTGTTTGAACTTTGATAAAAAATATCCTAACAGTTAAGGAGCAAGCATCTTAGTGTCGCAGTCAGTTAAGCATCTTACTCTTTGTTTCTGCTCAGGTCATGATCTCAGGGTTGTGAGATTGAGCCCCAAGTAGGACTCTGCACTCAGCAAGGAGTCTGCTTAAAATTCTCTCTCCCTCTGCACCTCCCTGCCCCTGCTCATGCACTCTTTCTTTATTTCTCTCTCATTCAAAAAAGAAAAAAAAAAAAAAGAAATATACATATACATGTATATATATGTAAATTAATAGTTAAGCTTTATACCAGTTATCTTTGAGATAATTCCTTTAGCATAGATTGTAAGACTGTGTTGTCTCAGGTGCAACAGATTTTTTTATTGAGGTTACAAAATTAATGTATAAAACCTATGGGGTGTTATTACAAAGCAAAATTACTTTGTTTCCTGTTTTCTCTTTAAGATATATTCAAAAGGGGGCGCCTGGGTGGCTCAGTGGGTTAAAGCCTCTGCCTTCGGCTCAGGTCATGATCTCGGGGTCCTGGGATCGAGCCCCACGTCGGGCTCTCTGCTCTGTGGGGATCCTGCTTCCTCCTCTCTCTCTGCCTGCCTCTCTGCCTACTTGTGATCTCCCTGTCAAATAAATAAAATATTAAAAAAAAAAAGATATATTCAAAAAGGAAAGTTACCTTCTATCTATGAAATTTTCAGGTGGTATCATCACTTTTGCAATCAACCTTAGATAATAAAAACATTGTGTGATCCCGTTAAGTGGTCAAAGTCTCAATTCTGATATTAGATAGTCTGGCTACATATATTACACATCAATCTTAAAACAAAGATCATAAAAGATTCCTTTCCAACCTTGAGTTTGTGGCAGAGCCCAGAAGTGGTGTATGGCGGGGGATGGTTGATGTTTCTGTTTCACTCTCCCCCAACTGGCTACCTTGACTCCTGAACTGGAGCAAGACAGAAAAAGGACTGAGAGGATAAGCCAAGTTCCTACTTGACCAGCACTGTGGGAGGACTTCATACTCACTAGACCTGGTAGGTGCTGGAAGCTAATTCTTCCGTGAACACATTCACAGGCTCTTCAGGGACTTCTTGCCAGAGGCCATGGCTGGACATGTCTCACCACCTTGCTATGTGCATATGAAACTCTGGTTCCTTTACAGTGTTCGCAACCCCCAGGGATTTTATTATTACATCGTTAGCTTCTGTCTGGTGAGGTCCTTTCATTCTTCCAAATATGGGTGGGCCACATTTGGTTCACACAAAACACTCATGAGGCAGTTGTTCCCATAAATTACTTGAGGAAAGACTGAAACCTACATAGCCTCCTCTCATGTGGCTCATCTGTCACCAGATAATCTGTTACATCTCACGTAAGAATTATACTCCATTCCCAATATCCCTGAGGGTCCTGGTACAGTTCTTTTCTCTTAATTTGAGGTAAAGAGGGAAGCATTTCTATACCTTTCCCAACAGCAGATAGCTCATTAAAGAAAATCTTCTCACAAATCCTTTTTCAACCATTAACAACCTGACCCTTTCATTTGTTTGAGTTGGGTAAGGATCATAAGCATCCCATAATTGGCCTTTAATCTTCTTTGAAATTCCTGTCTCACAGGATTTATTTCTGACATCTTAGACTCTTGGCTTAAACTTTTGATTTAGTATTCTGTAGGGCTAGATTAGAATGGAACAGAGTGAAAGAATAGGCTGAATTAAAGGAGGAATATAAGTAATTCCCTGGTTCTTAAATTTTTTGAGAGAAACTTTTACAATGGGCAAAAACACTAAGGATAAAGAACTCACCAATAAGAAGAGTGGATGAGGAACAAAATCACCAAGTGCTAATAATACAGCAATTACAATTTAAAATTCTGGTTAAAATTAGTCTATATGTATTCTAACACAAATATATTGTTATATATTGGTTTATTAAATCAGTAATGAGTAATGAGTGATTTGAGCAAAAAAGAATATTAATGCATAAGAATGAAAAAATTTTTAATTAATAATAATAATATTAGCAGCAACAGGAAAAACAGTGAACATTAAGAGAAAACTTATTTACACTATGCTAAGTGCTTCATACGTTTTATCATTTAATTCCCTCCCAACAATTTTTATTGCCCAAGGTCACATATCTTCTCAGGAGCAGAGCTGGACCCTCAACCCCCGAGCCATGTACTTCAAACTAAACCAAAGAATTTGGTCATACAGTGCTAACTCCCTGACCCCAAAGGACAAGTTTCCATTGGATTTGAAAGAGTGAAAGCATTCCTTGTTGCTTGGAGAGATACAATTGCAAAGTTTCAAGTTGAGAAGTGTAGAGTAAACATGTCATTTTTCATCTTCCTGCTCTGACAAGCTAACTATGATTCAAAATTCAGTTCTTCAGAAAAGAATGAGTAGTTTGATAGTAAGAACTGTGAGAAGCATTTTCTAAGAAATAAAACTCTTTTTACTGCCACTCTGTGTAGTAAAACCGGCAGTAGGAGACTGGCTAAGGACTCCGATACCAAGGTCACACACATCCTACACGCGGGGGGATTTCAAAGCAAAAGGCTACAAGAAGGAATCAAATGCTTTCTTGCCAATACCATGGAGGAGAAATAATAGAGATTTGTGACTCTTGGAGTAAACTCTTTAACTTAAAATTCAGCATAAATATGTGACTGGGGTGCATACCTATGCTTAAGAAATCAAAAGCTGTAAATTAGTGAAAACCCTGTTATCATTTTTGTGTCAAAGATTTCTGACTTTCCACCTTGCAACACCACAACCAACCATCCAGTGTAGACATGAGGGATTTCAAATGGCACTGTTTTCTTTGCATATTCATCCACAACAAGAGCAATGAATTGTTTCTACCCTAGAAACTCCAAACATTGCAAGTTTCCTAATTTCTAGTGTTTATAATCAAATTCTTCAGTGGAGAGACTTTTTTTTTGTATGAGTTTCCATCTACAGAAGAAAGAGTCAGGAGAGTATGTGCCCTTTGATTTCATTCTTCATTTTTCCCATGGAAACAAAAACTACTTACAATCTTCATTAAGCTGAATACATAATTTTTAGAAAGTAGTTACCTACTTGCTACAGAAGGCTGATTTGGCAAATATTGGTGGTATGCAGAATCTAAAATTCTAGGAGTCTTTAGATGTTCCTAATAATAGGCTATAAATACCATTTGACAAATTTGTAGACTGGTTGAATTGGGGAAAACTAAACCCCAAACAGATAATTGTTTCTCCCATCCTATTTAGCTTTAAGTCACAAATCTCAGAGGACTTAGTTGGTAGTTATTTTTATTAAGGTTCAAAAATCAGCCAAAATAGAAGCTAGTTTCACATACCCAGCTACCTTTTAACCTGGGAGGAGAAGGACTAATGTTCTTTAAAAATGCCTTCCATGCTAATTTTTCCCTCTCCTGTCTACAACCTCCTATCTAACTTATGTTGGCTGTAAGGAGAAGCTATTTGAAGGCATGTGTGGAGAGTATCTTATCTACTTGAGTTTTTAAAATCTGTAGTGGAATAAATTGCCTCTCTTGGTCATAATGCAAGTTGTTCTTATTATGGTACACTTATAAATTGTAAATCCATGCTTTAAAATAAAAGCACTTTAAGCAGTTAGTCACACAGTACTTTATTGATCTACAACATTCAGCCAGGATTGTGGGGAGTGATGGGATCTCTAATCTATCAAGATTCATGTAACAGGATTACTCTCATGGTAGAGGTGAATTTGTTTAAAATAAATCATGGGTGCTCTATTATTTCAATATTACTACATTGAAACTATGACGTTATTCATGTTTAACTTCTTATTTGATGAGATTTCTATTTCTTAGCAGCCTCTGGATTTTCTTTAATCAGCAGACTTGCTCAGCATATTTCAAAGAAGCCTAACCCAAGCTGGAAGGGTGATATGGGAACACAGGACCCTTTTGAATGAATCCCACGTTCAGAGTGATAAGTTAATATTATTGAGTGGGTCTTTGTGCTGAATACCTCTTTACTTCTACAAAAGTGTCCTGATACAAATCAAAATTAGTCAAGACTTTCAACATCACTTACTTCCAGTTGTCTTGCAAAGAATGAGCCTATGTTG